AATATTAATTTTAATTTATTGTAAATGAAAAACCGACTAAAGTTGGTCGGTTTCTTGAAAAATAAATTTTGCGGGACTCAAAAATAGATTCCCGCATTTTTGCGCCAAAGAAAACTAACCAAAGTTGGTCGATTTCGTAAAATAAATTAAAAAATAAAATATTTTAAAAAACCGACCGACTTTAGTCGATTTTTTGACCGATCAAAATTGGTCAGTCGACCGTGATTGATTTTTATCGAATTTTTAGTAGTGTAACTTAAAATATAGAGCAATACATACTACAATTACTGTTAAATTACTTATGCATATTGCAAGTCCAACAGTTAAATAAGTCATAAGCAAATGAATAAACCGCCACTAAACTTAGGGGCGTCAATAGATATTCGAAAACCGACTAAACTGATCGAACCGTACCGCACCGAATCGATTTTTAGGTTTCTTTTTAAGAAACCGTAGGTTTTTATATAAATCTATAACCGCACCTATAATTAGGATAGATTTTTTATTTTATAAAAATAAATCAAAAAAATACCGAACCGTACCGAATAAATTTTACATGTAGAAAATATATTTATTTAGTAAGTTTAAAAGTAATAATGCATTAAATTTTCTTTGGGCCTTGGAATTATGAAAACTATTACAATCCAATAAGTAATCAAACTCAAAATACTAATTCCTAAATTATGCTACTTCTACTTAAACTAAGTTATTTCAAGTATCTTTATTAGCAAGACACAAAGTATTCTAGCGATTATGAGTAACAAACTACAATGTATTGAATATGTTTCCTTTCATATAATTTGGATTTATCTTTTTGAATATTTAATCTTCTATAGACTTTATTCTTGAGTTCCAGCTTGGTATATCTTTCAACTCGTATGATTTATATTTTCTTTGCCTTTGTTTGATTTCTTTTACGCTGTTGTAGAATAGTTGATGGATCTATACTCTAGCCATCTTTTTTTTTTTTTTAATTCATCACCCTTAGAAAGTTTTGCTAAGTCTTATAAAAGAACGTATGTTATTACATTCTACTTCTACTGATGAATTTTACATGATATAAAAAATACCGAAAATTAACCGAACCTTACCGATACCGAAGAAAAATCGACATGATTGGGACGGTTCGAAAAGTCTAATTTTGATTATACATAATAGAATAACCGAAAAATTGATATGATACAAATTTTATAAAATAATCGGCCAAACCGAACCATTGACACCCCTAAGTCTAAACTAATGGCAGTAAGTTGACATAAATCAGTACAATTATTGCACTTATAATTGCTCATCCTCATCCACAAATTTTGTTTGATACTAAAACCCCACATGATTTCGGTGTTTCATAGTTATCTAGGAGGATAGGAATACTGAGACATACAACAAATCCGATTATTCAATTAATATTTTGAAGCTAATATTTTCAAGTGAAATGTTCAACTGAAGTCGATATAATTGATAATTTATTTTCTCCCCCCCCCCCCCTTTCTTTTTT